TGAAGTCAGTGGGCATTGACGTTGATGCTAATCATATGCATCGACTTCATAATTGATCGTGTATGTTAATGCTATTAGCAACAGTGGTGCATGTCAACATGGGCGTCAATAGTATGTATCAGCCTTATAGGTGATGACGTGTGTCAACATTATTAGCGTTAGTGAGAGATAAAATTGATGAGTGTCAACATTAGTGTTAATAACTTATATCAATTTTCTTGGTGATGTGTATAAACATTGCTAATAACAAGTTATAAAGTCAATGGGTTCTTGTGTTGGTGTCAATGACAAACATTGCCCTTATAGGCAATGACATACATCAAAATTATTAGGAAAATAGAAGACAACGTTTGCGGGCATCGGCATTTGAATCGATGCCATGCATCAATTTTATAAGTGATGGCATGAATGTGGTGGATGATAAAGTTGGCCAGTATCAACCTTCATGTTAATAGTGTGCATCGGCATTATATGTGATTAAGAGAAATGATGTTAGTGAGCATGGACTTTTATGTCAATGTCTTGCATAATCATTTAAGGAGATGGTTTTTACCAAAGTTGGTGGAAACGATAGGGGTTGTGGCTGGAAGCATTAATATTTTTGGTGATGGAATGCATCAATTTTATAGGCAATATTATGTGTTGATATTGGTGGCAGCAGTGGGCAATGAATTTAGAGGGCATTAGTATTTTTTATTTTATGATATACAACGATTTGAAAGTTGATAGCATACATAATTGTTGGAAAATTTAAGAGTGATGAATTTAGCAGGATTCAACCTTTGTGTCAATGTTGTACATCAATATTTTATGCAATAGTGTTCATCCTTCTTGCTAGCAATGATGTAAAGGAGTAGTCGGGAGACAATATAGCTTAGCGATTTGGTGTCATAAGATCTTAATTAGGTGATGGTGATTGTCATACCATAGTTAGGTGAAGGTGATCATAATATTGTAATTAGATGATGGTGATTCAACAATTGTGGTTAGGCAATAATAATCCAATGAAAATAGTTAAGTTCTAGAATTTTGGTGATGGTGGTTAGGTGGTGGTGGTTAAATGGGTGGCAGTTTGATAGAGACGCTTGGGCAACAATTATCTAATGAAAATAATCCTATAATGGTTATCAAATGATGAAGTCAAACTGCAATGGTTGGGCATGAGTGACCTAACAACTATTGCTAAGCGGTGATGATTTGTTAATAATAGTCATGGGTTGGGCAACAATAGTTTGGTGTCATTGAACTAATGGTAGTGTAAGCCATGCAATGTTTGCTTAAAGGCAGTGGTTGAGCAATAGTTGTTCAATGATGATGGTCAAACAGAGATCTTGGAAATCTTTAAGCTCTTTCATCCTTTTCCTTTTAGATTCCCTTAATATAGAGAATGTGCCATATTTCTTCTTTTTTTAGAGAGAGATTTTTGTAAATCTTACCAAATTAAACCCTGAAATTCTCCATCGGACAATTCAAAGTGATGTGTAAAATAAGCAATTTTAGGCTTACTATATTCATCTTGTCAATATGTTTTATTTAATTGTAAGAATTCAAGATATGAAGATCATGTTATAATATTCAAAGATTTCTAACTGTTGCATCATGAAATATTCACGGTAGTAGATAAATATAAAGTTTAAAGTCTTAGCTTTGTACAAAGATACAGCACGCATACATATGAGAAGAGACAGTGCAACATTCATAAGAGCGTCAATATTATTATGTGAAAAATCTTGAAAAGGGAAACGACCACATCCCTAGCTCAGTTTGAATGAATCCAATAGTATTTGTAGTTGATTACAAATGAGGCCCTTCATTGGAGGGAAGACATTGGCTTGATGTAACAAATATACATCATATAGAGTGTGCTGCATGGTGGAATTAGGAAGAATAATTATGGACATGTTTATTTGGTCGGAAGGATCGTAGTTGGCAGGCTATGGAGGTCAAAAGGACCGTTTTATGGTGTTAGAGGTCAGAAGGACCGTAGTCGGCGAGCGACAGAAGTCAAAAGGACCATCGACAGAAGTCCGGTGTCGAGCAGAAGTCTGGCGTCCGATAGAAGTCCGGACTTCCGCCGGCATCAGGTAGAAGTCCGTCAAAAGTCATGCATTGAGCAGAAGTTCAGTGTCGGGTGGAAGTATAGCGTCGGGCGGAAGTCCAATTTTGGGTAGAAGTTCGATAAAAGTATGGAGACAGGAAGAAGTTGTCCGACGTTGGGCGGAAATTTGGTGTTGGATTGAAGTCTGACAGAAGTCCAGAGACAGGCAGAAGTTCGCACTGAAAATAGTAAACGACAAGGGGGGGGGGGGGAATTGTGAAAATCTTTTTCTTAATAAAAGTAACCCTAAGCAAGAGTTCTTTTTTTTTTTTTTTTGAAATTTTATAACAAAATTTTAAGCAAGTTTTCTTCCACAAAATTTCACCATGCAATAGTTATAAAAATTAAATGTAAGTAAAAAGTAAATGACGATAAGGAAAAAACACACCAAGAATTTTATAGTGGTTCGGTCAAATTATGACCTACGTCCACTCCCCGGAGTCCTCCATTCCGGGATTTTCACTATCAAAAATAGTTCTCTTTTTGCCCCCCTTGGCAAGGCGGAGAAGCCTTTACAAACCTCCCTTTCACCAACCCAGCGTGGCGGAGTGCCAAACTCTGTTTTCGCCCTCCTGGCGACGGCAGAGAACCTTCTCGTTTTTCTCCCTCATGGAGAAGGCAGAGAACCTCGAGGTAACGGATGTAGATGAGCCTTTCCCTTGGAGATCCTCCCTCAAATTCTTCTAGGGCCACAGGAGGAGCAAGATGCAGCAAGCTAGGAGCAACCGTGTGATCTCCCTCACACATCTTCTCCCTCACAACGCTCACCTCCTCCTTCCTCTCTCAACCCTCAAGAATTTCTCTAGAGCTCTCTCCCTTGGAATCCCTCTCTAACCACGTTCACCCCCTCTGTGATTCTTACTGAAAAAGGACTTGATTGACATCTAAAACCGGGCTCCAAAAATCTCTGATTTCAAAAGTAGCCGTTACTGTTCGTACAGTACGATTACCCATCGTACAGTACGATCTTCATAAACAGACGTCGTCCTGGTACGAAGGTGTACGAACAGTTCAAAAACAATTCGTACTGTACGATATAATATTGTACGGTACGATCCACAAAATACTATTCGTACAGGACGATGGTCTGGACGATCAGATGTCGGCTCTGTTCATCGTATGGTACGATTACTATCGTACAGTACGATGTGACAAAAACAAAGAGATCGTCCAGGACGATTTCTGGGATGATCATACTTTGTCTCTGTTCATCGTATGGTACGATCAGGTTCGTACAGTACGATGTTCAAAAATTAATTAAGCTTGGATTACATGCACTAATTATGGGTTAATTTAAGTAAGTATTAAAAATAGATCATACAGTACGAACACGTTCGTACAGTACGAACGGCGCAAAATCACTTACTCAAATTAAACTACGGCTAGTGTTTTGGATCTGAACATATCGTACAGTACGAATATATTCGTACAGTACTCTATTCACAGTATCGTCCACATAGCTCTGATCGTACGGTACGAATTAAAATCGTACAGTACGATCTCCAGAGAAGAATTTCTATGACATTTTGCATTTAAAAATAAACTCTCCCCCTGTGTGTGTGCATGGTTGCTCTTACTCTTATGCATTTTTTGGCTAGACTCAATAAAATAAAATAAAATAAATAGAAAAATACAATGTTTGACTCATACTCCTAATCTACCCTTTCTTGAGTCTTTCTTTCGTCCTGAGTCACTTGTGATCTTCCTGAAATGTTAGTACTCAAGGACAATAGCAAATAAAATAGTATTCAATAAAAAGTTGTTCCAAAACACTCATTATTTGGCATCATCAAAATCTCAAACTCGGGGTCATGGGTTGCAACACGCATCTGGCGAAAATCCGGTGTGGGGTAAAAATCCGGCAACGTGCGGAAGTTCGACATTGGGTAGAAGTCCAGTGACAGGCGGAAGTCCGACGACGGTCAGTGGTCGGGAGGTAGTCGATGATGAGTTTGGTAGCAAGAGAACTCTTAATTCTCTTACTTCTATTCTTTCTCTTCTTGCTTGGGCCTCCTTTCTCCTCTTCCGATAAGAAATGATGGGTCTTTTTATAGTTTATCAGAGTGGCATGACAAATAAATAAGAGAAAGATCAAGGATAAATTGGGAGTGGTTTGAATGGATGGCTGATGTTGATTCCCTTGATCATGGACCATTTATTGGACATTAGAATGTCTTAATGAAATCAAAATTATATGATCTTGGGCTCGTTGGATTCTTCTCGTTGAGCCTCTTGATCCGACTATAAGCAAGTCATGTTTGGAGACCGTTTGGTAATCTAAATTATAATTTGAACCTTCCAAATGTGCTTCAGGTCTTTGATTGGGACCCATTTGAGTTCGGATTGGGTAGAATTTGGTGTCGTTGGGTATGTATTTTCGAGACATTAAGTTCGACTATAAGTTTGCTGAAATTGGAGTTTAGATGTCCCCGATTTAATTTTTGAAGTTTCCAACTTGATTTTGCCTCGAGATTCGTGTCCGAACAAGATAACTTTTTGATCATATAGCACTAACAATTCTTCAAGTGTTTTATTTCTGCTTTTTTGAAGTTAGATCAAATCACTTCTAGTGTCGGTAAATTCATCTTATCGACACATCCAATTTGTCTATAAATTGATTAAAATTTGAGATCTACAAATGAATGTAACTTTTAAAATTTCAAATTCAAACATTGCCTCCGTAGTCATGCCTGAACAAGTTGATAATTTGATGACATGCTACTTATATAACATTCTATTCCATAAATTACCATTCAAAAACAGAAGTGAAACGTACATTTCATGCAATTATAGGTTTTATTATTGTGAGTTAGACATTAAAAAATAGATAAAAATATAGTATTTTGTATGTAAATAATCCAAACTAAAACAGGAATTTCACGTAGGAAAAAAAAAATCTAACCGAGAACGAGGCGAGCCAAGTCTCTAAAGCGAAGCAGGCGATTGCCTTGCTGTGCATGGTGCTCCAAGACTAGGGAGATGAGGTTGTAAGAGTAGAATGTGACGACAGCCGCTACCAGGAGGTAGGCCACGCCGGCCCCCCATCCCATCTTTGCCAGCGCGAATGGCAAAGTCAGCAGCCCCGGTGCCACAATTGACGTCGTCAGATGATATCCACAATGAAGCCATGATCCTGTACACCAAAAAATATATAATCTCTAACTGTTAATTACCGCTAAGTAATCCTAATTAACTCATTTATATGTGCAAGGTATCAATAAACTCCATATCAAATACAAAACTCTATTAGGCTTCATTTTTTACAGTTATCAGACCTTTTTTATCTGAAAAAATAATCTATCTTAATGTAATTTATATAGAAAAATATATATGCATATATGTATATTGACAGATTAATTCATAGTTATTTTCTGTTTAAAGATATAATAAATTATAAAAATTGGCCATAAGTTTAAGAAATTAAAAAGAACTACTTTTGAATAAACATTCGGATTTTTAGCAGCATTAAAAATGAATAAAAAACTGTATAGAATGTTATGGCCGAAAAGTAAGGATTAATATAAAAATTTTTAAAGCTACTTTTGAAATATCTAAAATATTAATTAATTATTTGTTAGACTCATCTGAAAAAGAGATGTCTTGTAGCCCACGTGTTTCATGCTTTAGGTAGGCGTACTTTTCCTTATTTTTCTTAGGCTCATTTGGGGGGCGAATTATTACATCCGGTCACCAAACGTACGAACACCTTATTCAAACGCATCACGTCACCCGAATACATTGAGTCCCGGTGCAATTTGGTGACTTGGCGCGTCTGGATTGGTGCCCGACGAATCCGGACACCGGACGTAATAGTTTGCCCATTTGGAGGGTGAATTATTACGTCCGGTCACAGGAGGTCCGGACACCCAATCCAGACGCGCCATGTCACCCGAATACACTGGGTCCTGTTGTATTTTGGTGACGTGTCGCGTCTGCATTAGTGTCCGGAAGAATCCAGACACCGGACGTAATAATTTGCCCATTTGGGACTGTTATTTTAGTGCTTGTTAAAGCAGCTTTCTTTAAGAAAACAGAAAAAAAAAGTTTTTCAAATGGAAGCCTTAGTTCCCTTTATAATTGGAATATTTGAGGGCTTTTTATCTCTGCACGCCAATCCAGAGAAATAAACTCGTAATTTCATCTGACTAAGTAGTCTCAAAAATGAATTTTTAGACGAAAATTCTACGTTACAGTCATTGTCATTAGAATCTAATCTTAACTCTATTGGAACATTGATTCTAGAACCTTAGCTAGTATCCAGTTCAATTTCATTCTCGAAGAAGAATCGAGCTTGGAATTGTGCCAGGTTACTGTTCAAACAGATAGCTCCACAATGGGATATTGGAATACGATCTGCAAATGGCGTTCTCATGGAACTTCCTGGCCTGTTATTTGAGCAAGTTTTCTTCACGAGTTCGATAAACATTGCATCCAGGTATATTTAAAATTCATTAAACTTAATTTGAGATTAATGATATATATATATATAGTTATATTATATTCATTTTAGAGTAAAAAGAATAATTTATATCAGTTTACCTGACATGATTTTATTGTTATAATTTATGAGTCTGAACTGAAAAAAAAAATCTTAAAAAAAAAAGTAATAATTAAAACTTACAAGGCTCATAGCTCATCTTGATTTTATGGTTCAGAGTTTTGATTATCAACTAAGAATTTTTCTACTTCAGATCTTGTGTATGTAATAATGTATGCATGATTTAGATTTAAATGTCTCAAAACAAAATTTCAACAAATATGATTAAAATTTTTATACTAATTCTAAAAATATGACTTATAATTGTTATTGATAATTTATATTTCCTCACTCTTATTTTTTATTTTTTAGTCTAACCAAATAATATATTTTTTCCTTTCGGATGCTTGAATAATAATAATCGTTTGAATTGATTATTATTATTATTATTTAACTTATCTGACCTGTTCGATCACTTCCTTTTTTTTTTTTTTGACATGTTCACTTCCTGTATAACAGAAAAAGTTATATATATTTTGGACTGGATATAGTAAATATTAAACTATCTATTCGAAATAAATATTTCTTAATCCTTTTTTAGGCTTCATTTAAGATTGCTTTTGCAGATGTTTTAAAATTTGATCATAATTTTAATTTTTATAAAAAACAAATACAAGACTTTGTTTATTTAAAATTAATTGATGTTAACATTTTATTTAAAAGGATAATAAATTTTAATTAATAATAATTAATTTTTAAGAAAATTAATACTAATTTTACCTAAAACCACAAAGTTTTAAACAACATTAAGAATTATATTAAACCTTTGGCCCCTTCGCTGCAGCTGGCCCAGCTCGCTTTTATAACCTCATAAGTTTTATTGATTGATTTTCATATACTTTCCTTTCTGGTCTTTAGTTTGTTGTTTTGACTACAAATTTCTACATTTTCGAATTTTAATTTAACAGTTCAGCTTCTGCATGGAAATTTCTCATAAGTATAATTTTTATTATTAATAAAAACAGTTAAAATTTAGAAAATAAATATTAAATATGATTAAAATTTTAGTTTTTGTTATGAATTTCTAAATGCAACGACTATATTGCACATGCATTCGGCCATCTATATAACTTTATTAAAATTGATAACCAGTGGACAAACTTCTCCATTTCTGTATGAGTAATAATAATTTATTTCATATTACATATCATAATACAGTACAGCTCTTTAAAATAATAAAAAAATACAATATAACGCATGCATCAACAAAAGATTAAAAACATATTCAAAATTGAAATAAAGATGATCAGTTCTAGAACATCTAATATAATAATATCAATCACTTCTTTAATTCAGAGACATTTTATATCATAAAATTGTGATATGAATTTTTTGCATTAAAAATCTAAATCTGAAGTAAAAATCCCTGAAAAGAAAATGGAAGAAGAATATTTTTGGGAACCTTTGGACTTGAGAACAAAGAGAGCTCCTGCGTCCAGCTGCTTTTGATCGGCTTCAGAAATACTTTCTACACTTATATTTTGATCGCATTCCATCTTCTCTTCCATCTTTCTCTCTGAATCTGAAGGCGCAATAGCTGCCATCTCTACCTTCTTACTTAAGAATAACTGGGAGAGTAGTCTTTAGAGCGGAAAATGTGAAGAAATTGTGGGGTTTATATTCAAAGGAGTAATTTGCTTCTTTATTCGGTGGCTTGGACTGCTAATATAATGTATCGCAGACTTCCAAAATGAGATTGTGGCTTTAGAAACGAGGTTAATGACGGTCCAAGTTTTGGAAGATCTGATATTTTGAGTTGCCAGAAAAATAAGCTTTCTTGCTTTAGGGGTGTACTTTTCTTTGTTTTTCTTAGTTCCCTCTTTAGTTGGAAAATTAGAGGACTTTTTATCCCTGCGCGCCAATTTAGACTAACATTCTCTTCTGTACTTTCATTTGATCAAATAATCTCAAAAAAAAAAAAAAAAAAAAGACCAAAATTCTTCGTTGCGGTCTTAAGTCATTCGACGTGATTGGACTCTAATCTTTAATTTATTTGAACATTGATTCTAAAACCTTAGCTTGTACCAAGTTCAATTTCATGATCGAAGAAGATTCGAGCTTGGAAGTCTGCAATTTACTGTTCAAACAAAGATAGCTCCAAAAAGGAATGTGAATGCGATCTGCAATGGCGTTCTCACGGAACTCCCTGACCTGTGATTCGAACAAGTTATGGGCAGCTCTTGGCTGGTTAAATCAATTTTTGGAAAAAAAAAAACATTTTGAAGTGAAAATAAGTGTGAATATAAATGATAAATCATCAAATTTTATTTAAAAATAACAATATATGTGAAAATTTTATATGATATTAATTTTTAGAAAAATATAATAATTATATTATGATAGTCTAATATGATTTTTATTCTCATGAAATATATTTATTTATTCATGAGTTATTATAAGTTCAAATTGCAAATCATCTTCACCATAACATAGATATTATTATGCATTAGTTATAATAATATTTTCCTAATTTTTGGGCTGGATATTGATACAATTCCTTAAGAAATTGATATATGTCGGTAAAAGTGAGGGTTATGAACCATTAGGTGTCTGTTATGCAAACCGATTTCACCCAAGCATTTTAGACATGCTTAACTAATTTTTGAATATCTTTATAAGATTTTTTCATATCCATATTGGAAGATATAAAAAAAATTTAGCTAAAAGTTGAACAAATAACATAATTACTTTTACATTATTTTATTGTTATATTATAAATATCACTAACTATTATATATTTTTATTAAATTTCATTTTACTTTTTTTCATTTCTATTAATAGAGAACAAAAAATCGGGTTTGAGAATAAGAAAGGAGAGAGAAAAAAACTAGGTTTCGAAGAGCCATTTTTGTTCATTAGCCCAGTTGAGAAATTTATTCTGTTTCGAGGTAGCTTATATTTTGCCTATTTCAATTTTAAAAAATTTAGTGCTTTATGATTTTCGATCAAATTTGTCTTTGTTATCAGAAAATGTGAATAATTTATATTGGTAAAAAATCCACCGAATAACTTTTTATATGTTATATACATTGATGAACATTTTAAATATTTTATGAAAAAAATTTATCGGCTGATTCTTAAAAGAAACAATTTTTATCAATTTAGAAATTTATTTTATAATTTCTAAAAATAGCGCATTACTTCAATTATACCTTAAGAATATTATTATACATACTCTCTGATAATTTTGTAATATTTTGCAATAGTAAATTTTTTCTTAGTAGTGTTTTTGTTGCCTACCATTGATACATTTTTTGCAATATCTCAATTTAATCTAATTATACTTTAATTAATGAAATGTGTAAAAAAAATATAAAAGAAATGTTATGTGATATTATGCTGGTGTTAGTGGGCGACCGAGATGAGATTCTATTATGCCGGCAATAATATGCAATCTAGTTGAGATTCTATTATGCCGGCGTCAATAGGTGTTCGAGTTGAGATTCTATTATACTAGTGAGAGTGGGCAATCGATATGAGATTTTGTTATGCAGTGTTGATGGGAATTTGAGATGAAATTCTTATATGATATTGTTCTGATTTTGGAGTCGAAGGGCTATTTTGAAAATTATTATAAGACATTTATTTATATTTCAATTTCAGTATAGCTCATTGGTTAATTAAAAGTATTTAGTGCTAGTATATATTTAAGTTTAAACTTTTTGTACAATACTTCAATTTAGTATTACAGTATAGTATTTTCAATCATTCTGATTTTAGTTATTGATTTCTATTTTAGGCTGCAATAGCCTACTACACCGTATTAGCTTACTCCAACTTTTACTTTTATTTTTCAGGCCAGTGAATGGGTCAGGATTGAGCTGAGTAGTTTTGATAGCATACTTTAATATGTGTTGTATATATATTTATTTAGTTTTATTTTTGACTAGCTAGTATTTTGTTGTTTTATCTTTTGCCAAGCATTATTGTAGATACCTCATAGTGTATATGTATTTTTGGATTATATAAAAAGAAATTTATATTTGATATTTAATAGCCTTTGGTTTTATTTATATTCACTAGTGGCTCTATTTTGTATATAAATTGGAAGTTCAATTTTCAATACTTCTCCAACTAAATATTTGGGTTAGTCTTGCCAAAATCAGATACGATATGACCTATGTGGTATCAGGTCATATCGAGTAGGGTTGTGATAAGGTTTTTTGGTATCAGAACAAGGTGGGAGAAGCAAATCATAATAAAGCTATAGGATTTAATCTATATAAGTGAGATGCTTTTGGGTAGTTTTGGTTTCTTTTTTAGTTTAATTTTTCATATGCATGTGTTGCATTTATTCAGTCTTTTGAGATGATTAATCCATCTGAACTAGATCCAGATATGACTAATGGTCAGAGCTCTAGTTATGCAGCTCTCGTTCATTATACATCTCTTATGATCTATTCCGAGGTTGTTTCCCAAATTATAGATTGGTAGCAAAGTTGGTAGGAGAGGCTCATATATGGGTTTCTGGTACCTGCTCAAATAACATTGATATGCATTTACAAAATTTCATGAGATTACAACCTTCTAGATTTTGAGGTATTAATGAGCATAGAGCAGCTAATGATTAGCTAATGAGGATAAAGAAGACTTTGGATAGAATGTATTATCCTCATGAGGGGAGACTTGTAATAACTGCATTTTTATTAAATAGTGGGGTAGAGAACACGTGTCTTAGCCAGCAAAAGAAGTTTCAGGTTTGTATAAATACCCTAATTACTTGGGAGGAGTTTTTAGAGACAATCAAGACATATTCTATATCTCTATATGCTAGGAGACAGCTACAAAGTTCTTCGTTAAGATTGATTCAAGAAAGTATTTCAGTGATGCCGTATAAGGTAGAGTTTACTTCACTTTTGAGGCATACTATATAATTTTTTACCACTTTAGAGGAGAAGTGTTACTGATTTCTAAAGGGACTTCGAAATGCTTTGAGAAAATTATTACTAGCACATGTTATTATCAACTTTGATCAGTGAGTCTAGAGGGTCGAGAGGATAGAGATTAATTAATTTGATAGTGGTCCAACAATGATGGAGGAGCACAAAAAGATTTGATGGTGGCTTCCAAAAAGATTTGAAAAAAGAGTAGGTTTAAACCTATTAAGTTCAAAAGGAAAGGGAATTACTAACAATTACTTTTAGATCAGATAGAGGCAGTGTTACCATCTATAGGGTTTTTATTAGTGAGGATCCATTATATTATCAGTGTGACAGGAGGCATAATGACCAGTATAAGCATTGGGCAGGTGTTTTCACTATCATTAGTTAAGACATAAGATTGTTAAGTATCTACAGGGTGGCTTTGATAGATATTTTGATTTAAGACTTGATAGCTTTGGGCATCCAATCATGGTAAACCAAGGAAAGTACCACATCTACCATATTTTAAGATTTCTAGTAGATGAAATGTTGGCCCGGTATCATGAGGTTAGTTTTCTAAGGATTCACAGGGTGCTAGTAATTCTATTGCTTTGACCCTAGACCATGAGTTTAATGTTTGACTCAAAAGGAGGCTCGAGATGCTACTAACGTGTTTGTAGTTATGGATTACATCTATAAATAACAATGTTGTATTTTATTCGATTTTGGAGCCAGCCATTAATTTATTTTCGTGCATTTCTTCTATTTATTGCAGTTGCCTTAAATTTTATTACCCTTTTCTCTATTTATTACTTTACCGACTATAGATGGTATGATAGCCATTATAGTATATTTCTATGAAATTGAGATTTTTAATAGGAAGTGAAATCTTAGATTAAGAAGTATTTGGCTTAGTTTGTGATTATCTTTATAGATGATATATTGATTTATTCAAGATGTCAGGATGATCATAAAACACACTTGAGAGCTACTCTAGAAAATCTATAGCAGCATCAGTTATATGCTAAATTCTTTAAATGTGAGTTTTGATTGAATAACATTTAATGTTTAGGGCAAGTGGTGAGCAGTGCATGTATTGTAGTAGATCCTCATAAGGTTTAGGTTATTTCTGATTGACCAAGGCCTACTATAATTTTCGAGGTTCATAGTTTCTTAGACTTGACTAATTATTATCAAAAGTTTTCCAAGGATTTTTTCTTCATTTTCTTCACCATTCATGAGACTGACTTAGACATCACTACCTTTTGTATGAACTCTAGAGTATAAGGAGAGTTTTCAAATGCTAAAATATTATTTGACTTCTATTATGACTCTGATTATTCCTTAAGGTATAGATGTATTTTAGATTTTTAGTGATGCTTCACTAAAAGGATTAGGATGTGTGCTGATGCAATATGTTACAATTATTTTACATGCATCTCGATAGTTGAAACTATATGAGTGAACTATCTGACACATGATCTTGAGTTAGTAGCTAAGATATTTAATATGAAGATTTAGAGGCAATACTTGAATTGAGTTAGAAGTAAGATTTTTTATTAATCTTTATAGTTTTTGATACATCTTCACTCAAAATGTTCTGAATTTGAGACAAAGGAGGTGATTTGAATTGATCAAGGATTATGATATGTCTATTTAGTATCAGCCTAATAAGGTGAATACGGTAGCACATGC